CAGCAGCAGCAGCAGCACCAGCACCAGCAACAGCAGCAGCAGCAGCAACAACAACAACAACACAAACTCCTCAAAGCTGCGTCTGGAGTCTTGGTCCACACCAATGTCACTTCCAAAGGTTCGTTTCGCACACCGCGGCGGACTGGACCGGCTTCACAGACGTTCCGACCTCCGTGCCCACTCCGATGGGGGATGGGTCGTCCAACCTGGGAGCCCGACCGACCTTCCAGTCTCCTGGTGCCACCGGTGGGTCTCCAGATCTGCACCTTGAGGAGGGCCCTTCCCGCGGACAGGTGCTGTATCTGGTTGGGAGTTGGTGCCGGAAGATCTGGCGGCTTTCTCTTTAGGAGTTGGCACCGGAAAGGGCTTCTCCAATATCCTACTGCTGAGAATTGTGCTGAGTGGCTCCCCAGCTTCCGCGCGTGGCCTCCATCGCCGAATCATTGGCTACTCCGTCCAGGTCGCCCACCCATGCATAGAATTCTCCCACTGCCCTACCCCCCCCTCGTTCGGCTTCCTGGTCGGAGGCTTTTGGGTAGTAGGCTTCATGCAAAATCTCATAAGGTCTAGAGTCTAGTAGGTTTGGGACCCCTTCATTTCAACATGATACAACAAGTGATAAAGAGAAAGCGCCTGGAGGTCTCGGCGCCGCGGGGGGTGAGCACCAGGGCCTCCAAGCGCTCGGCCATGTCCTCGGGCGAAGGTGTGGAACAGCACCGCAGCACCGCAGCTGCAGGGGACCAAGTAGCTACGTCGACCGACCGAGCCCCCCTGAAACTGGAAGGGGAGGATGGACAACAGTGAACCTCGTTTTCGGAGCGATTGAGCACCCTTTCAGGGGGCCTTGGTATGTAATAGATAGACCATGTTGAGACACCCCCAACAACCAAGCAACCAAGTGGTTTCCAGGACTGAACCGCCAGGATGGACGCAAATCGGGTGTGATCAACTTCAAGAGGATTCACCTGAAAATGAAGCCCTCTTACCCTTCAAGAAAGCCCAACCCCCAACCCCTCCTTCTCCTTCTCCTTCTCCTTCTCCTCCTCACCTGGCAGCCATCAAAATGCACAGCTGAGCATCTGCCATGTTCTCCAGTCCATCTGGCGCCAAGAAGAGGCTGACATTGTGGTCGTAAGCCAAGCGCTGCATCGCCGACGGAAACAGCTCCTGACTTTGCGACCCCGACGACCTTTGGAGAGGTGATCTAGAAAAATATGGTGGTGTGCCGACGCTTCAAGGATTCAAAGTATTTCGGTGTTTCCAGTGGTTTTTCAATGGCTTGGTGATGCTACTGGTACTGGCTAGGCTCTTTGTGTTCCCGCTCTAAAGCCTCCCATCATTGGCATCCCATGATGGCACACGCAAGCGACGCACAGGCAACGCAGCGCGCCCACCACGAGATCCCACGCCCTTTCCATCCACCACGAGATCTTCCGAGTGTCCACCTTCCCTTGAGTGTCCAGCACCAGCAGCTCAACTGCTCGGCGTGTCTCCCCCATGCACAGCCCACCACGAACACGGTTCACCCACCTCGGGCGTCGCGGGCGCCCGCGTTGGTGGCGCTGCTGGTGGGACCGTCCCACCGACGGGTCAACATGGACGACGTTTCGATTGGATTCGTCCACGGGATCCCTCAGTCTCCTCCGAGCCTCCCGTTGTTTCGGAACGAAGAAAAGGAGGCCCAAACGACAAAAAACGAGTCACCTCTTCGCCACGCCTGCAACGTCCCCAAGTCCTTCCAAGTCCCCACCATCCATCCGGGATCCCCAAGAAGATCAAGCATGCGATTCAGTCGCGCGTTGAATCCCCCGACAGCCAAGCTCCAAGCTCCCGGCCTCAGCAGTTGCTCCAAGGTGGAGACGATGACCTGTGCCATCGCATCGTCGGGACCACCGGAGGTCAAGGACAAAGCCATCCCAATCTTCACCTCAGCTGGTGAAGAAGACAGGGAGAGGGAGGAGGAGGAGGAGGAGGAAGAAGAAGAAGAAGAAGAATTCGGGATGGTCGTTCACATCTCCAAACTTATGGCACTTCTGAAGCGTCCCACCAGTCATCTGTGCGTGACTGGCCCTGTCTCAGGGCCAAACAGGGCCCTGTCTTGCCAAACAGGAAGGGTCGTTTGACCTGGTCGCTTGCTCTTGTTGAAACGAAGACGGAGAAACGCACCGGAGAAAAAGGCCGAGCACCGGCAGTTACGGTGGGACCGGTCTCCAAAAGTTCACCGTTTTGCGGTTGAGGTGCTTTTTTGGGGTCGAAAGCATTCAGAAACACTTCGTCACAGTGACGAGTGTCACACCCAAAAAACATCTCGCAGCATCTCGCTGTTGCATCTTGCTGTCGCACTTTAGAATCTTGAACTTTCCAAACCAATTCCACCTCCCCAAAAACTCCCCTGTTTCTCCGCCAGTCACTCACGTCCCGCAGCACCCAACCGAGCCACGGGAGGACCCAGCGGCCAGTCGCCACAGGCGTCGGTGGTGTTCCCGACGTAGGAGGCCTTCGCAGCACCTCCCAGGCGGAGTTCAAACCAGTCTTGCTTCCTGAGCGCTGAAGCAAGGAAACGCGTGAAGCAGGCCGTGAAGCGGAACCTCAGCAAGGTGATTTAATTTGAGGGGAAGAAACATCAGACCATCTCCGGCTGTGTTGATTCAATGAAAAGAACAATGAGCTTTGGAAGCAGAACAGCTATATTAGATAGCTGGAGCGTCCCAGGTGTTTTGGTCGCCCGGAACCTCGAAACCGGAGCCATTCGGGCAAGGGTACCACCGAAGTTGTGCCTCAGTGTCAGATCATTGCAAGGATGGAGGAACATGCTGTTTAGGGATCATAGGCTTCAAACTCTCACTGTGTGAGTCCAGTGAAGACCAACCCAGCAACCCAATTGACTCAAGCGTCACCATTCTGAAACGCTTGAGTCAGCTAGTCAGATCCAATGCCACCGGAACGACGATCCGCCACTGGAACCCCGCGGGTTACCCGCTCGCCGTTGAGCCGCTCGGGCAGGGCTGGCTCGGAGGAGCACGTCGGCGCGTCCACGCCCCCCGCGCAGCGCGGCGTTTGGCCCGCGGGGCAGCCGGCAAACTGCCCGCAGCGGTGGCATCCTGCAGATCTGGCGTGGAAAAAGCGCCGGGGTAAGCAAGGACGAGGTGCAGTAGGTAGACATTTGTAGCGTTTGGGCAGAGCAGTGGAGTGGTAGAGTTCTGAGTTCCAACGGCCTAGGCCTCAGAAATTTATCTCCCAGCTCTTGCATCATGAGAGGGTTCTTACTGTGTTGGGGGCAGCAAACGGTTTTGGTTCACAGATGTCGAAGCGTCCGCGCTTCGCGTCTCCCCCTTTCATTTGGCACAAACTTCCTCTGCAAGATTGGACACTACTCACTACGTGCTCAACGACGACAACAACAACAACAACAACAACCACAACCACAACGACAACGACAACAACAACAACACTCCGTTGACGGTGTTGAATCAGATCATAAAAAAGGAATCAATCTGTTTACAGCATAATAAGCAGCGACGATATGTGCAATTGTCAATTGTGCATTACACAAATATCATCAAATATATGTTTTTTGCGGCACCAAGTGCGTGCTGTTCGCATCAAGCTATAACCTGGACTGTCCAACAGGTGGTTTTTTCGACCCTTCCCAACTGTCTTCACCAGGACAAGTCCATAATCCATTGGATCTCCGCAAAAACAGCTGACCAGCTCAGCTGACCCTGCTGACAGACCTACTGGACATTGCAGCAAAAGCAGAAAATGCCATACAAGTCCCCTCGCCCTGAACTTCCAATGACTCGTTTGACCCCACCTTTCAGTCCTGGACTCTCGGGGAAAAATGAGCCAAACTTGGACTCTCAGGGAAAAATGAGCTCATCAATGGGTCCCCTTGCCACCTTCCCATCCATCTCACCGTCCCTCCTGGCCGAGGCTTAGGACAGTCCAGGGTCCCCGCGTGGTGGTACTCCAGCAGGCCCACCGACACGGACTTGCTGCTGCGCTCCAACGACACCCGAAGCTGCACCGCTTGGAGGACCTCCTGACCGGACCAAGACTTTCCGATGTCGGGCCCAACGGGACCGAGGGTCGAACTGGGTTAGGTGGAGGTGTAGCACATGGCACCAGACTGTTCCCCAACTTGGCCATTGAGATGTAGATGTTTAACTTATGAACTATACTGTGCAACTTAGGCAGCAGACTTTTGGAAGGAGATGGAGGACTTCTTCTTGGATCCACCACAAAACCGGTTCTGGAGAATGGTGTTCGACACTCCTTAAAGGTTGCCAAGATAGAGCTTTGATGGAGGCGCAAGACTACCTACCTGGAAGCAGCCTGCTAACAGGTCAATCTACGGGTGTGCCTAGAATTGGGACACCGCACAGGTCGCCTCTACTGAAAAAGATAAAAAACTGGAAAATGCGTGTTCAACATGCCATTTGGCGCCATCACCCCATACAGCTAGCCCCACGCGTCCCACCTCAATCCGCAACATCTCCTGGACGCCCACCTGTGCGCGTCGGGTGAAACTGCCCGCACCCCAGTCGACCCGGCGCGGGACCCGGAGAGTCTCGCTCACCGGGACCTCGTTTGGGGCTCCAGGACCGTCGGATCGAAAGGACCGTCACGAACGAAACGAACGAAAGAGGTGTTCGTCAAGGGGAACGAAACAAGAAACAGAGGTTGTTCATCAGCTCTCGAGCTCCAGCTACCACCCGGTGAGTTTAGACTCGGTCAACGGGGCCCCGGCAAAATAACAGGATGGATGGCTGCATTGGAACAGTTGCAACACCATTCTTCATATTCTTCGAGAACCTCGGGATCTTTTGGATCTTGTGGTGAACAAACATCTTCCGCTCACGCCTTTTCTCGAAAACAGGACATCCCCCGTGCTCGCCCACAGAAGCTCGCTGTTCTCGCTCGCTCTGGACCCTCGCTTTCGGGAAGGTTGGGTGCCTCTCGTCTTTCGGAGAGGTCCCGCTGAACGCGGCGGATCCGCTGGTGACACCCTATACGAGCGCGAAAGACCATTCCATTTCATCCCGGTATGCTCCTTCTGTTCGACCTGGTTATGCTGGTTCTGTAGGTCTTAGTAAAACGATGGTTGTTCGGCAAAGACTATGAAATCAATGGTGCTTTGGACTCCTGGGGGGGGATGTGAACAGATTCGCAAAGCACCCCAAAAAGCCGATCGAGAGGTGGAAAACCCTCAACCCTCCGGGTGACCGCTGAAGTTTGGTGTCAGATGTTGGGGAATCCCAAGCGAGTCTGGTCAACCCCCAAGCGATCTCGATTCTTCCTTCGCGGCCTCATAGCGGCCGCCCCTTCCCCTCCTCACACGCGCTTGTTCCAACAAGCACAACCTGTCCCCGTCCCCGAACCTGAAGGAAGTCTCTGGAGAGGAAGGACACGGACATCCCCTGGACGTCGTGTCAGTAGTCGGACTCATTGCACGAGCTGCGGACGGGGCAGCTCGGAAGGCCCACCAGGCAGTGCCCCGTCTCGTTCAGCAGCCACAAATGCCTCGGGTTTCTCCGGCTAAGAAGCAACGCGTCGAGACTGAGAAGGAAACCAAACAACAAAAGGCCGAGTCCGTGGCGGCTTAATGAATATTAATGATTCTTTGATTCTTCCAAACAAAGTCCAGGCATGGAGACATGTGATGTGGAGCCCTGACCGCCTGACCTCCCCTGAAAGCTCGTGGTGGAACCCAACAGCCCATTCTCTTGATGGTTTTATTTGTCTTTTCACCATTGATCACAGGCTCTTGCAAATCAACTTGAAACACGGCCGCTTTTCAGTCCTCTCTTCTTCCCAGTCGCATGCGATTGCTCGAGGCCGAGGTCAGCCAAAGCTCGAAGTTCCGATATCCCACGGGCACTTGCCCCACCTCTGCAGACCACGCGCCCGACACGTCCAGGCGCACGCTGCCGTTCCTGACAGCCGCGGGAGCCCGACCCGCCCCGGGAGGTGGAGGGAAGTGAAGCACTCGGGGAGCGCCATCCAGGCGCCCTCCGGGCGCAACCGGCTCCAGCGCTCGCTTGGGGGATGACGACGCAAAAGCCAAGTCTCCCTGGCGTGCAACTCAACACTAGGCGCTCAGCTTGGTACTCAGAGGGCGGGCAGAGAGAGGCACAGCGGGCAGCCAAACAAGCCTCAGTGTGAGAAGTGGGAATTCATGTTTATACACGTGCAGATAGAGAAATCCTCAAGTAGATTTGTGATCGGAGATTCAGCAAATAGATTGCCCCTTTGGGTGCTTCCAGGTTCTTCTTCTGTATGAGGAGAGTAACTCCCCAAAGCCTCTGCTTCTTCACCTCAAAGCAAATTCAGCATCCTGGACCCTGAAGAGTTTACTAATTTTTGAACTGTTGGGTTTGTGAACGCAAAAAAACGCAAAAAGACGCAAAAAGCCGCAAATCCTGAAAAGCGGGCTGAATGTTCCAGTTGGTCCAATCGTGAAGAAATCACTGAGTGGAGGACAAGATCATATATCAAGAGCAGATTCTTCACCGCTCCATGCTTGGCTTTAAGATACGCATGATCTCCCTTGTAGAATCACCTCTTAAGAAACACGATCGACGATAGATGTGCAAATCCATGCTTATCAATTCTTTTTACACCTGTCCATCCTGTCACAGATTTTGACACCAAACTTGGCGTTTCTTTGGCATAATTATATAGATCCATCATGATCTGTCAATGAGCTGCCAAATGAAATCCCACATGCCATATGCATGTGTTTTGGTGTGGATTCAATACTATTGCTTTCAATATATTTCATACATGGTCACACTTTTCCCTGCACAACCACAAAAGAAGCGTGCGCAAATATCCGCAAAGAATACGCAAATATCGCAAAAAGTACGCAAAACCCCGCAAAAGTGCACAAAGTGGGATTTCTGTGCAGTTTCAAATTTAGCAATTTAGTGGCCTACCATCATGAGAAGATTTGACCTGGAGCTCGTGGGATGGAGCAAACTAGTGTGAATGCTTGCCACATACGGCAATCTTGAAGTTTCACCATATCCTGTAGGCGGTTGACAAGTACCCAGGGTGGCAATTGGCTAGAAGTGTACTACACACTCAAAGAGCCGAAGTCATGATATTGTATCGTACAACTCTTCATCAACTCCTCGTATGGCTCAAAGATGCGTACATAGGTGATCATGCACCAAGCATAGATGTGCTTGCTGGTGGGAGTCATTTAAGAAAGCGTCCAGTTTTGCTTTGGAGTGTACAGTTTTGGCTTGAATCGTTTAGATTGGCATTGAAGTGTTCCAAACGGCCCAAAAGGATAGAAATGCCAAACGTACAGAAATTATTGCACTTTCAAGGGTTCAGGATGGGTTGGTTTCCGGGTCGGTGTCCACTAGGACCATTGGGTGCCTTCTACTTATATTGTATATATAATATATATTATATAGCCAGACAGTTAGACAAACCCAGATGAAGCCTCCTTGCTGGGCAACAATGAAGAGAAAAACATCGGCATGTCAGCATGTCCATTTGGCTAGTGTCCTTTTTGGACGAACACCCAGCTTTGTCTGGGCTTCCCAGCCAAAACAGTTCCCCATCGGAAGACCATCGGCGCACGGCGCACGGCGCAGAGCGCACAGCACGCCACAGGAAGGGGAGGCCGCACCACGCATCACAAAGGGATAGGTGCTAAATGTGTTTGTTCATCATGACTTTTGCAAAGAAAAATTGAAATGAATGCTACCGCTTGAAGTTTTTGAACATGCTGCAGGAGTTCTTCATCTCGGCAGAACAGCTGAAGCTTTTGGTTTGAAAATCCTAAACGATCAGACTCGAGGCATCGTGAGACCCTCTTAGCCCCAAATTTATGCCAACGACCCGTCGCCTGACCGACTTCACCCCCCGTCTTGGGAGGCGCTTGCGTCTCAGGGCTTGGGAGGCTGCGACTGAGAAAAACACCGTGGAGAACGAACGAAGCCGTGGTGGATTTCGACCACCACCATTGATTTAAGGGTCCGGAGTCCTTGCATCTCGTGACCCAACATCCATTGTTTGACGATAGACTTTTTTCAATGATAACAAGATCCGGGAAAAACCATGTTTAGATTGTCTTGCAAGGCTAGGGCATGACGGCTGAAGTTGACGTACAACGAACCAATGGGTGTGAAGAAGGCGAGAACATCTCAAAACATGTTTGTCATAGTGCACAGACCAAGAAAACAATCAGACTAACATCTCCAGACAAAAGGTCTAATGATTGAATCCTGACCTGCAATGACCGCAAGCCAAACATCCCACTAGTACTTCAAATCTGCCGCCCAACCCTTCCACTCTTTCCACATCTTTCCACCCTTTCCGCCCATCCTTTGTGCCCACAAGAAGCCCATCCTCACCAGTTCTTCCGCACCAGAGGACGCCAAAAGTTCTGCTCTTCTCTTCCGCCCACTCAAAAATGGCGCCCATTTGCCACAAAAATGGCGCCGACCCTGTCATCCTCACTCACCTTCCCCACCTTCCGTCTCCCGGAGGCCCGTCTCGCGCCCTAGATCCCTCTCCTCGCTTCTCCGGGGAGGCCCTGCGAGTCCACCGAGTCCAGCGCCACCAGCGAGAGCTCTGAAACCTCCCAAGAAGCGGCCGGCGGGGGAGAGAGGGAGGTGCAGGTGCGGAGAGGGAGAGGGAGAGCGGGAGAGCGAGAGAGAGAGAGACAGACAGACAGACAGACAGACAGACGGACGGACGGACGGACGGACGGACCGACGGACGGACGGACGGACGGACGGACGGACGGACGGACAGACAGACAGACAGAAAGAAAGAAAGAAAGCGGGGTGGGCTTCATGTGGTGTTCCTTGTTCCTCCCAAGGAAATTCCCCAAATCTGAAAAAAAAACAATATGGAATCATAGGGCCTGGTCAGTTCTTGGTGCGACACGTGTCGGTTTCTTCCCGGAGAGGCTGGACCAAAAAGAGCGATCGCGGAACGAAGCCAAAGACCGGCAGCTCCCGTGACTGTGGGGTGGTGATTGCCACTCTGAATTGGCAATCCCTTCTCGCATGAGCTGCCGGATTCATGTTCCATGCTCGGAATTCGATGCGAAGCCGAAGGAACCGAGGTGTTGGGTGGTTTGGCTTCGGACCCAATCAAGTGAATTGGAGGACTCGGTCTTTATGGAGCCCTTGGGCTTTCTTCGGAAGGAGTGGCCAGCATGGGTTGTGGACAGACTCCATCGGCGGACAGAAGTAGCTCCGGTTCTCCAGGTGAACGCGGAGCCAAAGCGATAGAGGCTTGAGCCATTGGCTATAGCACTTGGAATCTGCTTGCTCTTGCTGGCACCTAGCAGCTATGGCAGCTACCAGGTCGACCAAGTCCGGCCTACGAAACCCTTCGTTTCAGGTCAGGACCCGTCCGGTTCAGGCCTGCAGGCGACCCTTCCAATGTCCTGGCGTGCGACCGCCACACACATGTCTCGTTTCTTTGCTGAGAACTCGACTTGGGACAACAACCGATCCGTGGATGGTCCTTTGGAAAGTCCCGAAACTTCGAAGATCAAAGAAAGACTGTATGATATGTAATTGTGACAGTATATATATATATATTAATCTTGTCTCTCTATCTATATATATATATAAGTAGGTCAGTAGGTCAATCCATCGTTCAGATGTCGGGATGAACCGAAACCCAGTGAATTCGGCGCCCGGTTCAACCTCTCCTGGACGGTGTCGCAGGGGCCCGCCGGCCAACTGGAAACCACCTGCAGTTGAGACCAGGGAGCCTAGTTTTTCCAGATGTCAAACCAACAAAACGACAAAAAAGAACAAGCATGAGTCAGGGTCCTGGTCGCTTAAATCGCTCACGGAGAAAAAAAAAGAAAACTTCCACCTGGCCAAAATCCAGCCAATCTATACCCGGTCTGATCCCCTTCCCTCGCAAGTCTTCTGGAAGCAAAGCCAGCCAAAATCAAGCCATTGACCCGGTGAATTCAGAGCCCAAACCTTTAGCAGCTCCCAGTGAACTGGGGCGTGGTCCCAGTGAACTCGTGAAAGCGCGGTGGGTGACAGGGTGACGTTGCCAGACGGTCGGTGCCGTGTCACCACCCAAGAAGCCCGACCAACTCCACGAAGCCTTGAAACCTGTCCTGTCGGAACATCTGGGTGACACGTGAACAACACCCTTCCAAGCACAAAACAAAGGAAGCCAATGAAACGGAATCGAACAGTGCATTCAAAACTAGCCGTGTGAGCCTGAGCCCTGCGCCTATGAAGCCTTTTAGGCCTACCAGCAGAGGTTGAAGAACCCTATAGGCCTATAGGCTATCCTACAGGTACCCCAGTAGGGTCCTATAAGGTCACTTAACCTCTGTTGGTAGTTCCTTTGCCGGAGCGCACCAGTGGTTTCTTGCGGGACCAGGGATGGCCAAGGCACTGGAGGCACTGGAGTCTTGGGACTTCACTTCACTCTGGATTCTGGATGGTGGATTCAATGACCAAAAGCGGGCACTGGGCATCCTCCACCTCCATGAACCTCGTACCCTCAATCGGCACAAGTTCGGTAACCTGCGCTTGCTTCGTTCGGCCAAGCCACAGCAAAGGGCCAGACCAGCTTCGTCTTCGTGCCCTCGCGACGTTTCTCAGGTCAAAACTCGCAGGAGAATTCTCCCATTTTGATGAGAGTGGTGTCAAACGTCAAGTCGAGCGAATCAGGTCCCTACTTTCCTGCCGTTCTGGGTGAAACGAAGCTGAAACCACCTGTTGATGCACCGAATGTATTTTGTTCTTTTTCCTCCCAAGGCTTTCAAAAGTAGACCCGAGACCGAAAGTGGCCACGTGTTGAGAGACAGACTCAACTCATTGGAGACTCAAACTCCGCGATGGAGGTGGAAGGTTCGATGGAACAAACAGGATCCCCCAACAGGTCCAAATAGTTGAGGGTTGTTGTCTCTATAAATAGATTCAAACAGCTCCAAATATCCAGAGTCTTCCTTGACCCTACCCCTGCGTGCCTTCTCCGAACGTGGGCACATACACCATGATCTGCTGTAGCCGCGCACGCACCGTCCACGCCACCTGCACTCCTCCGCTGCTGTCGCCCCCATGGCGCGTCGACGCCGGAGCCGCACGCGCGGCAATGGCGTTCTTCATGGTGCACCCGCAAAGGAGGACGTCGCCTCAGCTGGGAGGGCGTCGCTCGAGAAGCACCCAAACTGTTCACCTCACCATGGAGGCCATTGCTATTAGGTTGGAGGCCATCGCTTCCAGAAGATCCGTCCCGGGTCGTGTGTCAACAAAGACACCCCCCGAAGGAGGATGACCTGGAAGCCACACCGAGTCAATGACATCGGAACGAGACTGGCGGGAGAAGCGAGATCGGCGCTTAGGCCGCTTGTTGCACGGAATTCAGGAACATAGAGAGTTTGCGGGTTTTCATGGACATGTCAAACGACCGGTGTGTTCACCGGTCTGCTAGGTGCCTCATCTCAAGTCTTAGCTTGAAAGACCTGACATCATCTCCCAGATGTGAAAGAAAACGCGATCGGTTGGTGGAACCCGATCGGAGGACCGATGATCGACCGAATGCCTCTGATCGCGGCACCTCATGCCTCTGATGCGCACTCCCGGACACCCCCGATCCACAAAAGGACCCTTAATTGTTTTTTCGCTGCTAGAAAAATAGACACCTGTGATAGGAGTTCCTGCAGCAAGGAACCTATTCCAACCCTATCTGCCATGGCACTGAAGAGCTGCCAATAAGCGATGATGTCCAACTTGGCGAGTGCCAGAGAGACATCACCTCCTGTGAAACTGTTTGGGTTTCGGGGGTTTGGCGTCGTGTTTTCTGCAATGTGCGTGGGTGATGTCCGAGGGTCCAGCATGTCACATGGTGTTCTGCGACGGGAACCGGGGCTTTTGGCATCGGTAGGGAGGCTTTGGCGAAAATGAAGGAAGGATAAAGGGAACAAAGGCGCGGTCACCAAGACTACTAGTACCACTTCTGCCACAACTGCAAATTGCTACTACTAACTACTACT